ATATTATTATTATTAGTAAACAACAATAGAGTTGATTATTGCTCAATTTCAAAAATATGAAATATTGTATATATTATGAATTTATTATATATGGAGCATTTTAATTCAACATGTGATAACACAAATCTTAGTTTCTGATGAACTTGAAAAACTAATCATATATAGTATATTATACAAATATATATTATAATAATATAGTATTAGACACACAATACTATGCTATACTATGCTATATATGTATATGATATATTATTTTATACTATACATTGTATATAGCTATGATCTATTTCATAATTCTGTAGAATATATAACTATATTTGATTGTTGTTTTTGTTTATTTTATGTATGTATTTATTTGATATTTTATTAAATTTTGATTGTTTTTCTCATAATTATACATCAAGTTGATATACATACATATATCTATATATATATAGCTAATTATTTATATTTTCTTTAAATTTTTTTTTATAGTTTTATTTATGTGTAATAAAAATTTGTGTTTTTTAAGAATTGTATAAACATAAACGAAATGCAAGAACTGCTTCGAAGGAGTATTAATTAGCGTGTATATACAATATATATATATATATATGTGTGTGTGTGTGTGTGAGTGTTTATGTGTGCGTTTGTTGTGCATATGCCTTTGGCCTTGCATAGCAAGCAACCCCTCGAACTGCAGCAACAACAACAGCAACAGCAGCAGCAACAACAACAACTGCAATAAAGTGAAGCGGATGAGCGACAGGTAAAAATGCTAATACCAGATAACGGCAAAAGGCAACAACACCACCAACAACAACTGCAAACAGTGACAACTGCCTAAACTCTGTTGATGTTGTTGTTGTTGCTGAGAGACAGCCCTGTTGAGTTTTCCCAGGCGAAGCAGCTTTGCTTGCATTTGCACAGGTGCTCAAACTGAGAGAGTGAGAGTGAGAGCGAGAGCGAGTGGGAGAGATAGATAAATAACAAGAGCATCCGCAATACAGAACAGAGTCGAGCTAAACGGCCACCCTGCACATACTAGAGTTGCCACTCCAGGGTTGTCAAGCCCATTAGAGGGAGATTTGCAAATTGTTGACTTAAATTAAAAGTTTTCGCTTTATCAAATCGTTCGTTGTCTGCCTCTCCATGTTCCTCTCTGCTTCAGCAACTTTTAATGGATTTTCTTTCATTTGATGTTTCACATTTTTGTTGCCTTTTCGATCATCAAAAATTGGAGCGAACATCCGCTCAGCAGTCGCAGCAGCAGCAGATGCCATTAGCAGGTGTTGATAGCGCTTTAAAGTTAGTTGTATTGAATGCAATTACGTGAACTTTCACCTGGCTCGAGTGTGACATAGAAAGAAACATCTATTTCTCTCTAATCGAAAACTATCCATGAACAAATTTATTCTTAACATTAGATGATCATATCATCATCATCATCTCTGCCATCTCATCGATCATTTCGGAAGACTTGTCATAGACTTCTCAGCTTTGTTCATCTGGCTCATCGAATTTTAATCGTTCCCCGATCATTAGAGTATTTTATGAGTAATATTAAAGACATATTGTTTACTTTGTTTGCCTGACCAATTCCCGTTCGAGATTTATTCATCAAACTCAGCAATTGCAGACCAATCTATACCTAACTTTAACGAGCGATTACTTATGTGACTAAGTTCTCAAGTTAAGTGATATGTGCGTACTATATATCATATATTCGATATGCAGTGCAGATAACTGTACTGCACTAGCAACTTTTTTAAAACGGATGTGGATAACATTTGCATGTCTTGCCTTACGAAGTAGGAATTAGACCAAGTTTGATTACATATGTATATATATACATATATATATATCATGTATACATTTTATATACTATGTATGTAAAATATGTGATATTAGTATTGTAATCAAATCTGTTACAATAGATATATATAAGTACATATAGACCCCTTAGTCTATAGATATTCGCTCATTTTACCATTTGAATTGCTATAAAGAAGATATGGGAGATTTTGATATTGATATATACCGATACAAGAGATATATGAATGTATATTTCATATGTTTATTTATGTCTCTATCTACGCATTTCTATTTCTTCTTGAAACAACTCATTCCAAAGAAGTTATAATATAGATGTTCTATAATCTATAAGACACTATCTTATACTGCATAAAAACTAATCACATATTGTCTTTGAAACTTTTGCTCGCATCCACTTCTGTTCATACTAGTCTCTCAATGCGTATCTCAGTCAAGATCTTGAAGGCAAGCTTAAATCTATAAATAGCTATAAGTAGATTGCAATTCAGGGTGGGTGGGTGTCTGGGTTGGTCTTAGGGATGGCGTACTTATGGGGTTAATGCTTACCGCACACGTCCAGCCAGCCCTCGACGCGGCTGGGGTAGGAAATTGCATAGGCGCGATTCAGATACGTGCGACGTCCCATGATTTCTGCTTCTTTCGGGTGGGTGGTGTTCACGTTTCCTTTTGGGATGCTGCCACCGCCGTTCTCTCTCTCTCTCGCTCTCGCTCTCACTCGCTGGGGCACACGCGCGCTCACTCTCTGTCGCTCTCCGGTATGGGCGCTCTCTGGTTCGCTATTGCTGCTGCGGCTCGTTATCTTTCGGCTTATCGACAAGTTGTCGAATAGCTGCTGCTGCTGCTAACTATTGTTGTTGTGGTTGTTGTTGTTGCTGTTGCTGCTTAATTTGAATATTGATTTTGTTGTCGCCGTCGGCTTTTGTTGCTATTTATTTGCACATATATTTTCGTTTTATTGCACTTGTCTTCGACCGAGAAAAAAAAAAGTATATATAAAATGAGCAAACGAAACGAATTCGACAAGTCGAGTTTTAGTTTTTAATTTCCACTTGTTGTTGCTGCAGCCTTCTTTTAATTTTGTTGATTAAAAGCTTAACAAAAGCCCGATTCAAGAGCACAAGAAAACAAAAACAAAACACACACAAAAAAATATTAATCACGATTTTTGTTTTATTTGCTTTGGCTTTTTTTGTTTTTGTTTTTGATTTCTTTACGCACGGCTCAAGCTCAATGCTGATTCTCTCTCCCTCTCTCCCTCCCGCACGCTGTTGTTGGTCTCTTCAGTAGGTCTCAGTGCCTGTGTGCCAGCAAACGGCAAAGTGTGCGTATATATGTAAGTATCTGTGTGTGTGTCTGTGATTATTTTTGAGCTATCTTAGCCTTTTTTGCCTTTAACTCAGACTGCTGGCAATTTGAGAGAGACGCGGAGAAAGAAAGATAGAGAGAGTGAGCGAGCGGAGATGCTTCTACAGTTTTGTGTGCCGCCCCCCGCGCCCCCTTCAATGCGTGACAGTTGTTGTTGTTGTCTACACACACATTTTCATATAGACGCATGCACATACATATGTACAATATATTGTTAATATTCTGCGCTGAAGGCCGGTCGGCGCATATTGAAGTTTTATTTATTGTTGCCGTCGCTGTTGTTGCTGTTGCTGTTGCTGTTGTTGTTGTTGTCGCGCCAACAAAACCAGAAACTTTTTTTAAGAGTCACAGGCGCTGCTCATACAAATACTTGTATATATACAAATATATATAAATATAAATATATAAATATATATTTATTTATATATACATAAGACTGCACACACGTGCATATATATATGCGCTTTTCTGTGTATTATTTTTAAATTTACGACGGCTTGCACTCCAGCAACAAAACCAAAACACTTGACCAAAACAATTACCACACTTGTAATTCAGAGAAGAAAAAAAAAAAAAAGCATTCGAAAAAAAAACCGCTCGCGTTTTATTTGGATATTTTTTTTTAAATGCACGTCAACTGCGCGCAAATGCAACAAACATTTAAAACGGAAAACAAATGTAACAGCTCGATGCGTGCGCGTGGAGACGCGCGACGTGCCAACCGCGCAGCAACAAACATTAACTAACTAATAAACAATGTGGCCGCGGCGAGGTAAGCACAAAAACGCACTAAATGCATGCGCTCTGAAAATAACCAAAATCATACAAAAAATACCAGCACTTTGGTATTTTATGAGCGCTGTTAAAAAGTGTGCCACTGGCCATTTTTGGTGCCAAAACGCGAGAGCAGAAAGTATGCACAGAGCCAAAGCCTGCCCATAGCGCCAAAGCTGAACGTGATTTTGATTTTTTAAAAGTTGCTTTCAAATATAACATAGGATGTAGTTTAGTTTGAATATAATTATTTGGAATATAAGACTGTTTCAAGTATTTGCATGTATATTTGTTTTACGTTGATCCTAAAATTATGCTACAAAAAGTACTAAATACCAAAGGCTGAGAACCGAAAATATATAAAGCAGAAATTGCAAATTTGAGTTGGACCTATAGCAAATTATGCACATTACCGCGCACATTTAATTATGACAATAAATAGTAAGCGAGCATAACATTTACGATTGCAGATAGGAAGAGAAGTACAATTTCTGAGTACAAAGCTGCAGTGAAAGTAAAAATTAAATTGCCTACTTTTGGGACTGTTGCAAAATTGAGTAAAAACTGCGACTCAGAGGCCAACTTTAGCCGGGAGAAGAAATCAGTCTCTGTGCGCACTTCAATATTTGTGACAACAGCTGTTAGAGTGAGTATAAGAGAGACAAGCGAAGATTTCATTCGACTTGTTGCAGGGTAATTTTTGTTGCAAGCCTTTAAGGCTGCACCATAAATGCGAACACCATTAAAACAAATGAATCGATTTGTAATAGATTTACGAAAAAAAAAATGTTTTACTTGTTAAACGGTTTACATGAGTTTTAATAGTGCACATAATTAGTAGGTAGTTATTAGAAGATAATCGAATACACATAAAATTAATAACATTATTTATAAGTAAGTAGTTCTTGAACTTTTTGTTGTTGTTAATGTTTTTGCTACGCATTGTTTCAGCAACGCACAACGAATTTTACTATATATGTATATATATGTATATATACGAGTATGTATATATATGTATGTATGTATGTATGTATATATCTGTGAATATATGTATATATCCATACATACATATATATCTATATATAAAAATATATATATCTATATATGTATATATTGGGTATACGCATAATGTTGTTCAGTCTTTGATTTTAAACTTAACGGGTTAAAGAGAGAGAGAGAGAAAAAAAAAAAAAAAAAGGTACATACATATACATATATGCATAAAACTAAGTTTGGATTATGGTTAATTGATATTTTTTGATATTTGATTTTTTGTTTTGTTTTGTTTTAACACATTTCTGTGGAATGTGCTAGGAAATGTCCTTGGCGGGGCGCAGCCCCATGGAACGCTTCAGTGTAATCGTAAGCTAAATAGTTCTATATAAATATATATATGAGTGTATATATATTATGTTAGATTGTTTTCTTGCTGTGCCCTTTACATTTTACTGGGCTCCTCCTCCTGACCGCTGCAGGCGGGCGCTGGTGAAACCGAACCGGAGCCCGACGCTGAACCGGAACCCGAGCCGGAGCCGGAACCAGAGCCCGAAGTAGCGTCCGCTGCAGACTCCATTTCATTGGCCGCCTGCAGCTCGACGAATATATCAATGAGATTGTTGATGCCAATCAAATAGCCATCCTCATGATTGCCCACCTTCCAGGCCGAATAATGGTCGATCCTCATATGAGGCGGCAGCGCCACCGTCTTGGCAAAGTCAATTAGCCAAACGCTGGCGTGCGTCTGATCGTGCACGAACAGCAGCGAGCTGCCAATGACCTCGTGAGTTTGGAAAAACTCTGAGACGGCCAAGGTGGCCCGTATGGCCCGTAAGCGTTGTATATATCGTGGCTGTAATGGAAGAACATTCAGTTAGGGCTCATAGACAATTTCAACTTAAACTAGGATTATTTATGATTGCAGCAAAATTTGATCATATTTGAAAATACAGTTATCTAACCGTGAGTAAAATATTATTACAATAAGAGTGTTCTAGAAATGAGTATTCGTCAAGCCTCTGCGATGAACTGATATTCAAATCATCCTACTAATCTTTCTTATAGATTACATACAGATACATAATATCTATGATGGGTTAAAGATGGGGATATACAGGAAAACATAAGTACGTTAAGATGTGTGTATTTTTCATATCACAAGTCTCTACAATTTGAAATATTTCTTTGAAGGCATTTTACGGAATTTACGCAGTAAATTCGAAATCTCTTGCGTTTAAATAACTTCATTAAGTGATCGATTATTATCGATAATATGAATGTGCGATGAGTTAAAGCAATGATCAATGCTGCGGAACATATGTACATTTTAAATTTCAAGTCGTTGGCTTTTGTAGATTACAAGATTTGATGTATGAACAGATACACTCGTGTGTCGATATACCCGGCTCTGTGCGCTAATTGAGGTGCATATAAACTTGATGAGCTGTGTCACGCCTTCCTACTTCAAATAGAGAGCTATTTGCTCCATAAATTTACACACAAATATCAAGCACATTTCTATGACAATTTTCCTATTTCGAATAAGTTCGGACTGAAGACACTGAAAATATGAATCTATGGTAAGGAGTGCTTCATCAATGATACAGCCAATATCGTGGGGTCGATAGATAATTCAACAATTTGTATACCCTCTATGAGGTTATTGATCTAGGTAAAGCCATACGCTAAAACGCACCAGAATATGTGGATGGCCGCTGAGGAACTCGCTGAAGGCCAGTTTGATTTGTTCGCGTGACTTGGTCGTCTTGAAATCTTTGGAACTGGTGCCATCGCTCTTCTTGATGCCCTGCAAGTCAAATGGGTGCTTAGTAAATGGCAGCTGAGGTGAGAATGGTCACAGCAATGCTCACCTCAATGCGAAAGCCCAACGTTGCAGTGCTCGAGATGGTCTCGCGCCAGACCATGTAGCGTGGCTTGGTCACCGCCTTGGCCGCGTGCTCCTCGGCATTGGGCGCCTGGGCATCTATTTGTATCATCTTGTCGTACATGTCCTTGCGCAGCTTGGGCTTCTCCTTGGCCTTGGACAGCTCCTCCTCCAGGTAGGTGCGCACACCCACTTTGCAATCCATGACGCACGGCTGCACATAGTCACTGAGCAGATCTTGCAGCTGCAGATAAACTGAAAGTAAACGAAACTTTGATATAGCTAACTCGTAAGACGCAATCAGTCAATTAGTCGATTGGTCAATTAGTCGAATAGTCACTCATATATGTAGTTACACAGCTGAAAAAGTCTAAAATTTGAATATTTAGTCACTTAATAAGTCAATCGATCTGTGTGAGTGTCTGAATCAATCAGCTCATAAGCATTTCATTCGACTAGTAGACCTATTAAGCATTTACACCTGAGTTAAACAGTTAGAGAGAAAATCAGTCAACTGATCCATTAATAATTATGCATATACAGTCATCGACTCGATCGATTGGAGCCATATCACTAAGTCAATCAATCAGAGTGCTTTCAGGGTGCCAGTCATCCATCAGTTAAATCAGCCGGTAATCAATCCACCTATTGATTATTCATTGAAGGCATTTATCAATCAGAGCTATATCAGTCAGCCAATCATCATCTGTGATGATCCAGCCGTAAGTCATTTGGTTAGCCGTCGATTAATATAGGCAATCATATACTGTCAATCAGTTAATGTGTCAGGATTCAGTGCGTCAGTCTATCAGCCATCAATCATTTAGTCAGCTTTCAATCAGTTAGCACATAAAAAAGGGAGTGAATCCATCCGCAGTTATTATCAACTGACCCATTAATTTAGTTAGCGTATGCGGTCAATCAAGACACTCATTTGATCAGTCAATAGTCATTTTTCAGTCAATCAATGAATTCATAAATTAGTCAGCCAGTCAATCATAAAAAATATGCGTTTTCTAATCATTCGATATGTCAAATTGACTATTCGACTTCAGTAAGTATCAGTCAATCAATCTCTTAGATTTAGTCAGCATCAGTCAGTCAGTCATTAATATATGTATGTGTTCGAGGAACTATGTGACTTACGTTCGCCATCCTCGCTGGTCACCTGACCCTTGTAGACGGGCACATATGGACGCAAGACATCCTGCATGAGCACCTGGAAGCATTCCTCCTCCTTGGGGCAGAGCTTCTTGAGGACGGTGCCCGGCTCGGGACCCGCCTTGAAGTTGCCCTGATGGCCGGCCAGCTGTACCCATGGATAGCGCTGCTTCTTGTACGTCTGAAAGAAGGGCGTCCATTGCACGATGTTTCGTATTTTCCGCCAGCCAGAGCTCTGTGAAAAGACAAGAAACAAACAAATGAAATAGCATACCAGAATTTACATTAAAAAGAAAGGCATTAGGACAGTTGCGTCATCGAGTGACTGCTGTAATAGTTCATCCAATAACACGTTTTAGCAAAAACGTGAATTGTTAGCACTTCCAGTGGACCCGCCTCTCCACTCGGGCATCATTTAGAATACAAGGCGATAAAAGCTTATAGCATGAAACGGGGCCAGTTATAAGATCTATAATGACGTCGATGCTTACGTAACTAGTACTTAAGTGGTAAGTGCCGGCCGGATAAGTCGCGATTGACGCCGGATATTTCTCGAAGTGAGTAACAGTTGTGAGATCTACAATAACGCTTACGTACTTAGGTAACTACTCTGTAATTGTCTAGTAAGTGCGGGATAAGCTGCGGATAAGAGGGGATATGTCTCAATATGTCTCAATGCCGATAAGAGTATCATTAGGTCAGCATGTTTCGCATCACGGATATATTTGATTGAATCGGATAACACTAAGATAACACTGGTGGCGAATTGCAGCGGATACAAAAAAAAACTAGGGTCAATGTCATTAAAGTGAGCGCAAAATTAGAGTATTAGTATTGGATATGCGCCGGAGAGCACCGGATAGTGGCGGATGCGGATAGATCTTGACGTGTGGCTAATGACGTCAATGCTTAAATGGCGAATAGATAAACGATTGGTATTTATCAAATCAGCACTTAATTAAGGTGTTTATGCATGAAATCAGTGCTGTTTATTATCCAATTGCGCCGGATACATTTCGCAAGCGTTGCCAATGACATCGATCGATGTGCTCAGCTACGCAGCAGATGCAAATATATTTAAATTGGAGAATGCTTGATGACAAATAGATGGCAGATGATAGTTGGCGGATAACACTGGATAAACACTTAAAAGGCGAAGCCTGTCATGAATGCACCGGATAATGCCAGATAAGCGCAGAGCGGCAAACCGTCCTCTTACCTTCTTCGTGCCGCTTGCTGACGTTGCACCCGTAGCGCCCGAGCCAGAGCCCGATGCAGTTGCGGACGAGGCCGCCGATGTGGATACATCCGAGTCCCACTCAGAGCTCAGATCATCGCTGCTGGCGTAGCCATAATCCCTTGGCATGGGCACCTCCAGCAGCGACTTGGAGTACTGTATGTAGCCGGGGCAGAGACTCTGGCCCAGCGGCGAATGACTGCGACGTGGCGGCGTCATCATCGTCATGGGCAGCGAGTGCTGTTGCGAGAGCTTGCGCCCGCCCGCCAGGCTGACATGCTCGCCCGGATTGGCTGTGATGCTGATGGTGGGCATCGACAGTTTCTTCTCGGCGCGCTGCTTGATGCCATGCGCCTGGGCAAACGCCAGGCTGCACTTGCGCGGCTGCATATTGTTGCCGGACAGCTTGCGCCGGAAGGTCTTCTTGATGGCGCCGGTGGCTGTGGCATTGCCACTGCCGCTGCCATCCAGGTCAGGCTTCTCGGTCTCGCTGTCGCCATCGTCGCTGTCAGCGGTGGGCGGCGTCTTGCTGATGCCGATGCCGGCGCCAGTGCTGTGGCTGCTATTGGCAGAGCGACCTGCATCGCTATCGACGCCATCGTCGTCGTCCACGTCGGCATCGTCGGCATTCTGATCGTCCTCGTCATCGAAGCGCAGCTTGGCTATGTCCTCGGGCAGAACGTCCGGGAAGTGGAGCAACTTGACCGTCACCTTCTTGCCCGCCTCATTGTAGTACACCTCCTTGGCGCTCATCCTGTCAAAGTCCTCGTAGATGCGCACCTGCGGCGACGGCGGCGGCGTTGGCGGTGTCGTTGGCGTCGTCGCTGGCGACGTCGCTGCAACTGTTTGTCCGTTCACGTTATTCGCACTGCTTACGGCGGCTGCTGCGGGCGGGCGTGCGAGTGCGCACACGGACATTTTACACGACATGTGACGGGCGTCCACGCGACGTCCACTTACGCATCAGACGCACTGTCTCAACCGGGCACAACAACTGCACAGAAATACCCAAAAATCTATGAATCAATGCTTGTTGCTGTCGCTTGTCGCCTGTCGCTTGTTGCGTGTTTCTTGTTTCTTGTTGCCTGTCGCTTTTTACTTGTTGCTGTATTCGGTTTGATTGAATTCTGCGCATTTGCGAACCTGTTCGCGCCTTAGCCAACCACAATTGACCCACCAAACGACCCACCGACAATCCAACTTGTATTTGCGTCGATGTGACTATAACAGCCTTTTGAATACCCTTTCAAATGTAGTTTTTAAGTGTCGGCAGAGAATTTGGTCTTCGAAAGCAATGACTATACCAAATTATACATTTCAAGATATGCAAGGTGAAGAGCAACTGAGAAGCATATACATCAAATTTGTAGCTTTGAGAAATTCTAAGACCTTATGGGTATGTCTTAGATACTCATTGAACCTTTCGAATTAGAGATAAGTCTAATTATTTTCTTCCATTGGATCAAGAGGAAAAAATATTAGAGAGTCTGCCCTCTTTTCATTTTCTACAAAGATAGAGAGATCTAGCGAGAGAAGATTTTATTGCTGCAATGTCGATAGATCGGAAGAGACTGAGTAAAATGGAGATAAAGAGGGAGTGAGATGGAAGAATAAAGACGAAAATATACGAAGAAAGTAAGGAAAAAGACGAAATGTGAACGCAAGAGAGAGAAAGAGCGAGAGAGAGGGAAGAGAGAAGCGAGTACTCTTCAAACTTTTCTTCTGCCTTAAACACTTCCCTAACCTTCCTCTCGGTAAGGATTCAAATCCTTTGTTCAATACTTTTCTAATTGCATGACATATCGAAAAATAGATTATAGACATCTATCGTAAAACAGCTTTAACACTTTACGAAATATTGTTACCAGCGCATCGGCGATTCGGCGTGGCTCAAGAGAATCGTGCTTCTTTTCTTTTGGGTTTGTTGTCGAAGTGTGGTTGAGGTTGTCGCTGTCGATGTCGTTGGCACTGTGGTTGCTGCATCGACGCACACATCAATCAAAATTGATTAAATTTAATACATATGTATGGTCCAGCAACAACAAGCGAAGCGCACGCATCTAAGTAGGCATTGCAGGAGCGTGCTGGCATCTCGGCACCACCATCTGCGGTTCGCTTGCAAAACCACCAAAACCACCTTAGATATAAGTGCACAGCGGTGTGTGCGTGTGTGTGAACTCTTTAACCGCAAAACAAGAAAATTGGAATACGTAACATCAACCAAAATCGGAACTAAACGAGTCGGGGGCAAGGCAAAAGCGAACAACAGTCGCATTATGATAATAATGGAAATGGTAATGCCAACAGCAACAACAATAGTGTATCAAGAATGGAAACACTGCTATCCAGTTACACACAAACATACATATTGAGTCAACAACAGCACTACCACATACAGTGATCGCTCGCTAAATTGAAACAACCTTCCAGTTCCAGAATTTCGAACCGTAAAGTTGTCTAAAGGAGACAGATAGACAGAAGATATGAAGATAGGAAAACTAGACAGGTCTATAGGTACTAAGGTGATAGAAGTTAAATAGAAATATATATAGTAGACAGATATAAAGAAGATTTAAAGATGAATAGAAAATAATACAGCTTGATGGTTGAATCGACGGAATATAGATATATGAAATAGAAAGCAGAAGTAAGCAAGGAAATATGTGAATTGTAGGCTTTATAGTCCATGAGGAAAAGATACAGAAATATAGATGGATAAATAAATAGAGTATGGATAGAAACCAAGATAGTTAGCGAGTTTCATTGAAAGATAATTAGAAATCACGATAGATGTATCGATATATAGAATATTGAAATATTCATATAGGTACCTATATATTCATATAGGTCCTAAGGATATAAGGATAGGTAATAAGTATAGGTACTAAGATATAATTGGAATGATAGAAGAAACAAAAGGTAGATATATGCTAGATAGATAATTCTATGGATAGAAGATTAAATAGAAAATAAGATAGATAAGCCGGATATCCAGTTGGATTCATAAACAATTAGAAATATAGACAGATGAATATATATGTATATGGAGGACAAAAGACGAGTGGATAGACAGATGGATCAATAGAGAACTAAGTCGGCTGATAGATAATCTAATATCAATCAAAAACAGATATTAAGATAAGCAGATAGGCCGATACAGAGATACTAGATAGATAGATAGAGAAATGTATAGATTTTTCGATAGACCCATTTTAGATAGCCAACTTATTATTATTAGATAATTATATTATTACTACTGATAGGGATATTACCTATATATACCACATACAATGTCTATAAATTGTATGGAAAATGTCTTTATCTATGCATGGCGCACTTATTTGAAATTACGTTTCTATTTTGGGAACAATTGTAATTAGCGGAAGTTTCCTTTATTAGCGAACGATCACTGTATACTGAAATTTCTTTTGCTCTGCTTCCCGCCGTCTCTCGCCCCTATCTTCCTCTCTGTCTGTATATTACTGCTGTGCTCCTCACACCGAAACATTTGACGTCATTTGCAAAAGTTGTGCGAGGCGATAACGAAACAACAGCCACAACCACAATTGGGAACCTTGGAGCATCGACGTTGTATGCGGCACCTTTTGTATGTTGTGCTTAGTATGTATGTAAATATGTATATATAAGCGTGTATGTGTGCCCCGCATATAGGACACAATATGGCGACTATAAGTAGGCCGATCGATATGGACACCTCCAGATATACCGGAACCAGCTCACTGCAGCTGCAGAGAAAGAGAGGCAAAAGAGAGAGAAAGAGAGAGAGAGAGAGACGCATCAGACACATTGGATGGACAGACGGACTGACTGAGTGCAGCTTCGCATGAATACTATATATATATATTATAAATAATACTATATATATATTTACTGTATATATATGTATATACTGATATATATTTACAAATATATGTATTTTTAATATATACTAGAAATTTCGCTTGTATTGCGGTCGATCGGAACTGAACTGTGTGCAACGGCTGCTGATAAAGGGCCTAGCGTCCAGAGAGCATCTTAATGAATTCGCGATTTTTCGATTTGTTTCCAATTTCTCGATTCTTAGCGTATATATTTAAAAGTTTTCAAATAATACCAAATGCGTATTTTATTATTGACTTTCAATCTCCCTATTTTCTAAATACAAAAGATTCTACAATGTCTCAATAGTCCATCTATATATCTGTATGTAAATACATATTCAAATGTACGAATATTTCCGTAATAAACATAATTCTTAATATGTTTGTATCAAAATGTTGATCTATTCTATATAATCATTTAGCACCTTATGGACTCTTTACCATAGCATTTACAAATTTTATGTATTGCATACTGTCCTTAACGAAGTTAAAGATGTTAGATGTCTTTCTCTTTACCTTTCTATCTCCCTTTCTCTCTCTCTCGTGCTGCCTCTCTATATGCCTTTTTCTCGTTCTCTCGCCGTTTCACTCTCCTCGCTGCTTGCTGCTCTGGAGCACTTTCTTTTACACCGCTTTCACTTGCATATTGCATCTCTATCTGCTTATTCTACTTATTTATAGGCCATGAATATTACTCATCTCTTTGTAAGCTCCATCTTATATTTAAATTTAATACACCTTTCTTTTATAATATATACAATCCACTTTTGTCTTCTTCGGCTTTGCCCTTTCATATATAGATCAGTAGTAGCTTTTTCCTGTCCTTATGCTCTGTAGTCCTCTTTCAGTTATTATTAATCGTTATATCTCTAGTGTATTTTATAAGTTCTCCTTAATTCTTCGCTCGCTCTAAGATATCCCTGTCTATCTTCCTCTCTCATCCTCTAACCTTCGTTCTTTATTTTTAAATTTATACGACCTATAAGTATTCTACTTTTCATTATTAACCTTATGATTTCTAAGTTACTTTGCATACTTATGTGTTTTACTCTCACTTGTTATATGCATATCACTTATCTATCTCTATCGATGTTTTATGTTATATTTAGTATATCATCCACTTTCTCTCTTCTCTCCTTCTAGGTATCTAAAGCGCATCTTTCCACCGATCCTTCAGCATATTTTAAGCATTTACAATTGTATATTGCCTCGTCTCTCCTCTGTTTCTCTCTCGTTCTCTATGGCAGTTTGTTTGGAACACGCTTCACATAGGTAATTTGCCATTCGTTATCTAATGAAAAGAGTTTCGCACATGCCGTCGACGACAGCCCGATATAGACCCACATGTATATATCTCTATATATATGTTCGTTTGGTTGTAGATATAGATGTGGTAATAGATACAAATGTATCCGTAGATACAACATGGTGAATAGCTGGGTGTGGGGATACGTAATGCCTGCTCTGACGATCCCACCCCACTTCCCTTGCAGTCCGCGCCTAACGCCCACTGCCGCACCCCCGCAGACTATCCAATGCTCCGCTGGACTGCGCTTAATGTGCGGCATTCACGCCGCATAACAATGAAAAAGCAACTTTTTTTTGCTCCATCTATTTGTCTGTGTGAGTTTGTGTATTTGAATGTGTTTTTTTTTTTTTTTTTTTGTTTTTTTGTTTCTTAACTGCCGAAAGCTTAAAATTAATAAAGTAAATACTTTTTTCTATTTCAGTTGTGTCGGGCGGTCGCCATTGACGCACAAATTGCGATAGAATTAGAGGGCTGACTGTGTATGTGTGTGTGTGTTGATCGTCATTAAGATCGTTTAAGGCTAGCTATAGCCATCCCGCGTGTGGGTGGGTGGGTGTTTGGCTGAAGCGGTACGTGCGGATATGTATTGAACGATTGATGGTAATTATTGCTGTGTGCGTATGTGTGTGTGTGGTGGAGAGGTGGTGCGGAGCATGCGTGAGAGCTAATGGACATGAGTTGCCATTTTTGGAACGTTGGCGCTAAATGAGCCTCAATTGCCAAATTGCGACAAAAAAAAATATATATAATAATAATAATAAGAAGAAAAAAGCACTGAAATCAAATTTGTTTAATAAAAAATGAGACGCGCTTCGAGTCAAGCGTCTTTATATTATATAATTCCCAATTGGTACGCGCGCGTAGATGAACCAAAACAAGACAACTTAGCTGGTCCCCCACCCCATTCTCTCTCTCCTATTCTCTCTCTCTCTCACACGCGCACGCGTGCTGGCATAGTGCGTAGCGTTCTCCATTGACGTCGACGTTGAAATGTTTACATAAACTGGAATTAATTTCATTGCGGAGTCGTTCCCTCTCTGGCCCTACTCCATGTCTCTCTTGTTCGCCTTCTCCCTCTTCTACTCATTCCACGCTGCCCTTCCAGCAGCAGCTAGCGCGTACGTCGTGAAGGCGCGTGCTTCAATTAACACTTTTTACAGCAAACAAGAAGAAGAAACAGCAGAATCTGACGTAGCGGCAACTGCAGCAGCAACTGCGCAGCTTGCAACGCTCAATCCACTTTCCAGTGATTCCAGCAGAAAACTGTCAACGTGAAAGCTTTCATGTCAAACAAGCAGCAACAAGAAATACGCACATACACATACACACACATCACACATACAGATGTATGTATGTATGCATGCATATGCATGTAATACAGCAACAACTACGCTTAAAATACACAAGTGCACACACTCAGCAACAACAACAAAAATACACACAGAAAAAAACAAAAGCAAAACATCAACAATAAAATAAGAAGACAAAATGAAAACACACAAAAACGCGAGCCGAGGCGAAATTTAATTAAATTTTTTCACTTGGAATTTTTGCGTGTTTCTTTTTTTGGTGTTTTTTTTTTTTTTTTTGGAAACAAGCAGTCAAAACAGCTCTGGTTAATGTTATTGTTGTTAAGGTTGTTCTTGTTTCGTTTGACTGTCTTTATTTCGTTTGTTTGGTGTTGTTGTTTTAGTTACTGTTTCTGTTTGATTTGCTGCAGCTGCTGGAGTTGGACGCGACGCGTGCCAGACATTGGCATAAAAAACGCAAACGCAAACGCGCGACGGCGACGGCGACGGCGAGAAGAAAATACTTTGACAACGGCAAAGGTGAAGCACAGCAGTAACAGTAGCAGTAACAGTAGCAACAACAGCAGAGTCAACGGCGGTAGCCTTTACAATGATAATAACAGTAGAGCTGTGTTGCTGTGGCAGCAGATGCAGAGACAGAGCCCAGCCGCACGCGATCGCTGCAAAAGCTCAACTGGTCGGGGGACACAGACAACCAGAGTCAGAGCCACACAGAGCCAGAAACAACGCTGTGCGGCGTCCGCGATGAGCAGCTGGCAGTGACGCTGACGTCGTAGAAGTCCTCACTACAATGGACGCGCGCAACTGATAACAGTAAATAGAGAGCACGCATACAGCTCGAGAGAGACAGACGGAAAGAGAGAGAGAGTGAGAGAGCACGAGAGAGCAGCAGCATGGGAGTGGGAGTGGTGGTGTTTTTTGAGAGCATTAGGTGCCGTTGGGTGTTCGAAGGCCAAGCGCCAGCCAGACAAAAACAATGCAAATGATAAGTGAAAATGGCAAATGTACGTAGCTTCCATTGGGCAACGCGCCGGGCAAAGCTCATTACAAGCTGTCTGTCTGTCTGCGCCAGTGACGTAGCCGTGTGTGAGAGTGCGCACAGAATATTATAAACAATTGAGTGTGTGTGTGTGTGTGTGTGGGAGTGATAGCGAGAGCGTGCGCGTCAGAATGAGCGCCGCCAAAAGGATCAGAGCAAAAGAGTGCGAAAATTAAAATGGCGTTTGTGCGTTGGAAATCTTTCCATTGCTTGTGGAATATTTTATGGAGATATTTCAATATCAAGTTTTTGTTTTTCCTTTATTTTTTCTTTCACTTCTCATCTCTTTAGTAGACAAATTGCTATAATAATAAAAGCCAGAAAAATCATTTCTCAATTTAAAGTAATATACATATGTATGTACATATATGTATATACATATGTATTATGTACAGATATTAATTACATATGTAAATTAATTAGCCGCTTTCACCATTCATTAAAACTTGTGCTTGACCAGTCAGCATCCTCTTTTTCAATCACTTTTAACTTCTAGCTTTGTTAAATTCTCTCCCTATTTCTCTCTTTAACAGCTGTAAAGCATGTTCGTTCCTGCTACAGCTTTCCAGTTTTGAAATATTTTTCAATGAACTTTCATCTGCTTGTCGCCGCGTACTCTTCGCCGGCTTTGATTTTTTCACGCCTGAGCTACTGCCGCACTCTCTCACACTGTCTCTCTCTCGCTCTACTTCTATATCTGTCTCTGTCAGTCACAGGTAAAGCCAAGCACGTCAGCGTCAAGGCGTATGTCGCATCATAACGCCTGTGACGTCAATGGCAGCACCAACGGCAACGGCAGCAGCTTTCGGACCGGTCCAACAGTCAAATAATTCAATGCGACAACAGCGACCACGAGGCGACGCTCAAGCTGAGGCCGAAGCCGACTTGGCCAAAGCTGTGGCTGTCTCGGCTGCTATCTCTGCTGCGTCTACTACTTGTTAAGCGAGCGACGTTGGTGTCCAAACTAAACTCGCAAAGCTTTCAGTGCGATCGCATTAGCCGGGCTCCGAACCCAGCGCAAGCTTTTGCGCGCTTCAGCTGAACGAATTAGCGCCTAACAAAAGCCAACTCAAATAAATAAGCAATAGCCGGTGAGAAGGGAGAGAGAGAGAGAGAGAGAGACAGAACAAGAGAGTGTGTGTCCAAGTCGTAACAGCTTTTGGGCCACTCGCAGCACCTACCTTCTTTTTGGCCGCCTCGGCCGCGCTGATCACGTACAGATCGACAATGCCCAGCAGGCAGTCGT